CAGAAAAGTTGCAGCAAAGTTGTGGACAAAGTGGACAAACTAGCATAATAAGAAGACAGTTGTGAGTTGTGCTGTGACGGCTGAGTGCACAGGAGAGTGAGTGTGGCGGCTCCACCTGCTGATAAACACACACTTTAAGCAGTTTTCCCATGGGTCCCTGAACGCACCAGGGGATTTCTGACAGGCTGCTGCGCCATAGGGACCGAGTCTACACTTCTTTGTCTACAGCAAAGCCACTTAGAGACACAGCGTGACAGCTCCTAAACACACCACAACACTGGACATGTGGGTTGAGCTGTAGTGTTACTGCAATGTGATCAAATACACAACGTAATTTATGACTTTGCTGATTTACTGATTGAAAAATAAATAATTGTTTTAGGTAGGGATGTAACGATATCCAAGTCTAATGATACGATATCCCACGGTACAATATTTATTGCGAAAGCTCATGATTAGGAATGTAACGATATCCAAATCTCTCTGTACGATATTTTCACGATATGATATTTATTGCGATATTTTGTGGAGGCAAAACTGTTAATATGATACTATTTCCTTTTAAAATGCCTTGACAAGATTTAAACCCAAAGAACTACGACTTAAAAGTGCTTAGAACTGTCTTTCTTCTTGTAGTCTGCACTGAAATGGAGCAAAGGATCATGGGCTATGTAGTTCCCTCTGTCTTTTTTTAAACTATTGCTGCATCATAACTCTTAATTTAAGCAAAGAGGCTTGTAATTCCATATATTGTGAGAACTCTGACGATACGATATCACGATATTTCGGTTATTGTTTCATCCGTACTTTTAGGTGATCTATTTTTATCCCATATTACGCTGTTTTCTGATCTATCTTATAATGTTGTTTCCTCATCAAAATCATACCCAGAGTTTGTTTTCTTCACATGCAAACTTTGCATATTTAGGCTGAGTTTTTCTCTCAAACAGATGCGATGTCACGTGGTAATGCGTAGAAAACGTAAATACATAAATATAATACAAAAAGTAAATATTTCTTTTCTATAATAAACAAAAAATAAACGTCACGCAGATTTTACTTGTGTCTGAAAAAGGAGCGGGAGGAAGTAAATACTTATTTAACCCCACCCCTTTTTTGTACTGTCCCAAAATAACAAAGAACAAATAGACTTCTCTTTTCCTGTACAACATAAGCTATAATTACACAGTACCCAAATTTCATTGCAAAACTAACAACAACAATAAATCTATGTATATTAAATACACACATATAACACATATAAACACTAAGCATTCATTTATTCAGCACAGTATTTTGAAATAATCTCTTTTTTAACAGCGCTTTTGAGTAGGGCTGGGTATCATTAAGAGTTGCCGATACGATACATACCTTGATACATAGGCCAACGATACGATACGCTTTTCGATACAATGCGCTTTCAATCCGATATAATTCGCTAAAACTATTTCAAACTGATTTGATACGATTCACTGAAAAACAAAGCCTAAATCATGGCTGTGATACTAAAAGTCTACAAAGTCTGTTAAATTTGTGTAAAGTTAATATGAAAAACGCCCATTTTACTCTAAACAGTGAACACAATTGTAGCTCTTACCCAAATTAATTTAGTAAAATATACTTAAATATACTCTTGGAGATGTATCGATACAGCAGCCCACGATATCGATACTGGATCATCACATTAAACGATACAAGTTATCAATATTTTAGTATTTTTGCACATCCCTACCTTTGAATACATGTATATTTGGACAAAGTTTTTAGTTCTATTTTCATGTTGTTCCATAATTTTACACCACAAACAGAGAAACTCCTTTTGAAAGTCCATACACCTTCACTAGAATCATATGAATACTTTCAGCTCTGGAACTGCCAATCTCTACTGAACTAAAGGTAAAAGGTAGCTGTTAGAGTTGAAAACTACCGCTACACGACATCACAAGGTGGAAGAGAGCATTTTGAGTTTTCGAGATATAGACAAACTAATAAAAAAGAGGTTTACTCAGAGATTCACAGTATTATTAATTAAGTGAATATATTGTCCATCTCTTTTACTGGTAGAATTTACACATCTCCAAACTTAGCAACTTTTTGAAATTATGGCTCAAGAGATAAAAAACATGTAAAAAAAAATAAATAAATCACACAAGAATAAGATATTTATTGCGATATCATGGGAAAGCTCATGATATGGTGGGGAGTTTCACAATTAGAGATGTAACAATATCCAAATCTCTCCGTACGATATTTATGCAATATTTTCACGATATACATCTCACGGTACGATATTTATTGCGATATTTTGTGGAGGTGAACAAAACTTCTAAAAAAACTACTACTACTTTTTCCTCTTAAAATGCCTTGATAAGACTTAATCTCTCTGCAAAGAACTAAGACTTAAAAGTGATTAGAACTGTTTTTCTTCTTGTAGTCTACACTGAAATGGAGCAAAGGATCATGGTCTATGTAGTTCTCTGTCTTTTTTTTTTTAGCTATTGCTGCACCATCACTCTTAATTTTAGCAAAAACACTTGTAATTCGATATATTGTGACGGTCCATGATATTATTGTGAGAACTTTGACGATACGATATCACGATATTTCGGTTATTGTTACATCCCTAATGGTTAATAAATACAGCTACTGAATTGTGGAATACAAGCTTTCAAAAGAGATGATTACAACACATCCAGAAAAAAATGAAATTGGACATACTGACATTGCCTGTTTCAGTTTATATCTTAGTCAGGCCTCCTTAACATATGACCAAGTTCGTTAGAGTAATAGTGACTTTTTTAGATAATAAAATGTGATTCAGCATTTCCTTTTATATTACATGTGATCTTATATCTGTGAAATTCCTCAAATGTTCAGGCAGGTTCCATAGTGGTTATTCTTGTTCTGATACAGCTCAAGATCATTCTAAAGATATTCAGGAAAGCTTCTATTGTCCCTCCTATTGTTTTAATCCGGCCCTCCGAACTTGAATAATAATGACAATAATCATTTTCAGTGTTTTTAAAGTCATTTCAATAAATAGTAAATACCATGGGACTTGAAAGACAGACATTTTGTTGTAACGCTTTGTAATGTTTTCAATTATGGGATATTTCAATAACATGGGGTCTGTTTTTTACATATTCCATGTTTTTTTTCTCTTATGAGGTGGATTACCAAAAAACTCCATCCATCTGCCCCAGGTCCGGCCCTTCCATCAAATTTTAGAACCCTTTGTGGCCCACAAGTCAAAAAGTTTGCCCACCCCTGATCTAGTATCTGATTATTGATACTTTTTACACCCCAAGTTACACACCAATACACTTTCCCTGACCTATTTAGTGCGCAGTGCCAGTGGAAGTAGAGCAGAGCCAGGTGTCTAGACCGCACACCGATATGAGCAGTTTAACAGTAGTACGAGGGTGACATTACTAAACCAGGGCCAGTGTTTGGGATTTGAAACCACAGAGAGTCTCAGAGCTGTACTGCTGCAGCTGCTGTGGGCCACTGCCTTATTTGTTTGCCTTCCATTTGTTTTGTCTTTGTGTTCCCGCACTGAGCCGTGGACAGCTGCCGGGCAACAGCCAATAGGAGCGCGGGGTCCATCGGCGAATGCAAAAACAGCAGCTTAATACGCCGTGTGCCTCGGACACGCCCGGCTCATTTGATTGGCAAATCAGAGCCACATCAGACAAACTGTACAAGACAAGCTCAGTGAAGAAGATCCTCCAGCAACAAAACAAGAACAGCACCAAACACATCTGAGCACCGCTTACGACTCCTGAACTTTGGTTTTAATTTGGTATAATTGTCCGTCAGAAACAAAAATCGATCCAAAATTACTGGACAGAAATGAACCTGAATATCTTTAGAATGATCTTGAGCTGTGTCAGAACAAGTATAAGAGCACATAAACTAGAATTGGAATCGGTATTGAGTAGTGCATCTATTCCTAGTATTAAAATCAAGTTTGACATTTTAGTTTCGTGGCAACACTACTAAGTAACATTTCTGGAAAAGGGTCCACCAACTTGTCTCCGTGACAATGTTATTGCTTTGCCTGTAATGTTCCTAAGTATGGCATTAAAGTTATCCATCTCCATGAAGACAAGACAAGTTTTCAAGGCATCAAAAAAACCCCACATGTAATTAAATAAATGCAATATATTTGTATCTTATATTTGGACAACTCACCCTTACGTAACAGATAACCCTATGTCCTGTCAATCATCATATCACTGTTGCACTGTCTTCCTGTGACCTCTTGTATAAGTAGATATTTTATATTTTATTACGTATCTTTCATTTTTATTTTGACTTGTACATTTACATTTATATAATTATGCCTGTTCTGGATGTCTCCCTTGGGAGATGTTCTGGGCATGTCCCACCGGAAGGAGGCCCCGGGGAAGACCCAGGACACGGTGGAGGGACTATGTCTCTGGGCTTGCCTGGGAACACCTCAAGGCCCCCCCGGAGGAGCTGGAGGAAGTGTCTGGGGTGAAGGAAGTCTGGGAGTCTCTGCTTAAACTGCTGCCCCCACGACCCGGCCCCAGATAAGAGGAAGAAAATGGATGGATGGATAATTATGTCTTATTTCACACCTGTCTCTTGCTCTTTTTTGCTACTTATTTAAAATTTATTTTACCATTTATATTTTTGCTCTTTGTTATTATATTATATTATGAAGTGTGAGCTACGCTACTGTGTCCAAATAATTTCACTTTTGGATCAATAACGTTTGTCTAAGTCTAAGTCTATTTATGTTTAATGCTATACTGTGGAACATTCAAGGCAAAGCGATAACATCACCATGGAGGTAAGCAGTTTGTGGCAATTCATACAGATTTATTGAAAACTACTATAGCTCCTAGGGGTCAAATACATTATTGGATGCAATGGTTTGGTTTTTAAAAAGTGGAAAAAACTACATAGACCATAATCCTTTGCTCTTAACTTAACCCACAGTGCAGTGTGAGGAGTGAGAAATGGACACTGACCTTGAGATCCCGATGGACCACACCCATCTGGTGACAGTGGAGCACGGCCTCCAGGATCTGCTGGATGCAATGACTGTAAACAAACAGCAGGGGGAGTACAGGTTAGTGACAGGTTAGTGACAGGGACAAAGACCAATCCAAACTTTTATGTGTGAGCTCCTGACCCAAACTAAGAGAACACGGCAAAAAAAGCACTTGACTAGAGAACTGACAACTTGAATGGAGTTGTTTTTGTGTAGTTATTTTGTACATACCTGATATTAACAATTATTTCTGAGTAGTTTTAAAGGACCTGGACCTGAACCTTGAGTTATGAGCATGTTTTAATTTGAGCTGTGAACCACACCCACTTTAATCTTTTCCGCATCAAAACACCAAAACAAAAAGTGAAACCTGAAATAGTCTCATGCAGCTGTTCTCAGTGGTTCTCATCAATATCTGCCGACTTTTTTCCGTCTCACTCTTGATAAAGCAACATGACGGGATCAGATGTCTGTGATAATGTCACGCAGTTGTTTTTCCATGATTCTTGGTGAAGAATGTGCTGATTGGATGAAATCTGGTGTCGCTGGCAAGGACATTTATCTAAACCAGAAGATACTAAAATGAATTACAGGCTTGTTTTTTTGTTTTCCTCCACCAAATTTAATTCTATAACATTTATTTTATTAGATCAGATTTTTGTAGGTATGGCTTAAAGGTGACTTTTCTGGTGGAGCCTCTTGGGGCCTTCTTCGAGACTGTCTTTTTGCAGTCTTGGTCTCATCTTGGACTCAACTGTGTTTGTCTCGATCTTGAAGGTGCTTGGACTCGGTCTCGTCTTGGTCTTGAAGGAGCATGGGCTCGGTCTCGCCTTTGTCTTGTCTAGGTCTCGAAGGCGCTCGGACTCGGTCTCGTCTCAGTTTTAAAGGCGCTTGGACTTGGTTTTGTCTTGGTCTTAAACGTGCTTGGACTTGGTCTTGTCTCGATCTTGAAGGCATTTGGACTGGGTCTTATCTCTGTCTTGATGGCGCTTGGACTTGGTCTCGTCTTGGTCTTGAAGGCGCGTGGCCAATATGTGCCAAAATAACACATAAATAATACAAATAAATGATGAAAATGACAAAGATGGTCTCGATTTGGTCTTTCTGGGCCCTGGTCTCAGTCGTGTCTTAGTCTCGGCCTTTAAAAATCTCGGTCTTGTCTCCGTCTCGACCATCAGACTTCTTGGTCTTGCCCTGGACAGGTCTTGGTCTCATTTAGTGCGGTCTTGACTACAACACAATTGTCCATCAAACGTTTTTCTCCACAGAAATGTTATCACTTTGTCTGGAATGTTTCACAGTATGGCATTAAACCTTTCTAACTTCATGAAGACCAAACTAGACCAAGTTACACGTCAGACCTGTGGAGAGGTGACCCAGCTCACAGTCAGAATGCCTGTTTTTCTAGGTATTTTTAAGCTATAATATTACCTGTAATTGAATAAATGTAAGGTAGAGCTGTTTAATGTCACACTATGGAACATTTCCGGCAGAGCAATGACATATCCATAGAAACAAGTAGGTAACAGACCCCCAACCAAAAATGTACACAGTCTAAACAGGTCAAAACTGCTCAAAAACATACTGTTAATAAACCTAATGTTGTTATTGTGACAAAAGCACACACAGCAAGTAAGCAAGAAGTTAGGAGTGTTAGGAAGAAGACAATAGCAGGCCTGTATTTAAAGGCTCACACACTCACTCACTAACCTTAAAGCCTCTGTGCACTCTGCTCTGATAATGACAATGATTTTACACTTCCTACAATCTGCTGAATAGAGTGACTGAAGCGGATTACAGAGGAAAGGAAAAGGAACAAGAAGTCAAATGGTGACACAAAACCAAGCCAAAAATAACTAGAATAGTGAATGTGTAAGCAGAAGTTCACTTTTGAGAACCACTAAGACTCTTGATTAAAGGTGGGACATACAGTATATCAAAAATGAATAATATTAAAATGACTGTTTTGGAGACATGCAAAAAAATTCAATAAATCTTCTATACCGGATTTTTCAGACTCTAAGTCGCACTTTTTTCATGGTTTGAGTGGTTCTATATTAAAATTTTCACACTGACAGCCTTGAGAGAGGCTCTAGTCTTGTGTGTCAGTATCTGCTGCTCCTGTTCCTCCTGTACCACTGTCACTTGGCTCTACTGTGCATGTCTCCTGCAGAAAGAGCCGCTGTCCTGTCTGTATCATGTCAGTCAATCGCACAATTACTTCTGCACCACTGAAAATTTGAAACTTAAATAATCTTATAAAGACGACTGAAAAGACTGAAAACAAATGCCCCCAAAAATGAAAATCATATTTTGCAGATTACAAGTTGCAAGTTGCAAAATCTGCAGCCGAAAACGGTAATCGAGCAGCAGAAAGAAAGTCTGGAGTGACCAAGAGACTTGTGACACCGGGCAGGTGCACCACTTTCTTGGAAGTCACTGGATGGATGGACAAAGCCTGGACTTCAGTGACACTGAAACCATCCTGTCGGGATTCAGAAAGGGCAGAATAATTCTAACTGGAACTGATGATGAGTCTGATGACAGCGACACAGAAGAGGAAACGTTGCTCTGTTTACCTCCAGAGGTCAAGGAGTTGCTCAGAAGTGACACCGAGGATGAAGAATTCAATGGATTTAGTGATTTGGAGTGAGATGGAGAGTTTGGTAAACTTGTTCTGTTGTTTATGTTATATTTATCTGAAGAACTGTTCATATGTGATGTTAACAGTTTGTTGTTCTCTGTTCTATTGTTATTACTAGAACTTGCCTTTCAAGATGAAATGTCGGTTCTTGGTTTCTGATTTTATAAAAGAAATTTCCTCCAAAAAGTGCAACTTATAGTCTGGTGCAACTTATGTTTTTTCTTCTTCATTATACAATTTTTGGCTGGTGCGACTTAGTCTGAAAAATACAATAATTAACTTTTTAAAATTACCTTAAAAAGGAAAAAAAAAATTGTGTAATCTCCCAAACAAAGTTATAAAGTAATCTTCATTGATTTATTTAAGTCAGATACTGTTAATAGAACTTCACTGATTTGGCTGGTTTGGCTTTGCTGTTGCTGTGTCCTCGGGCAAAACACATGAATGTTAAATTGTGCGAGGAATATGTAAGATTGGCAGCAAAGTATCTTACCACCACTGAGTACAAACAGTGAATAAAAAATTAGAATGAATCGAGGAAAAAAAAAGCAATAAATCACACTTGTAATAACTAATAATGGGCCTAAAGGCATCTGTGGAGTCTGCCTGGTGCAGATAAATCATAGATAATCTGCTGAATATTGTTCCAAACACAAATTATTATACTACAATTTCACATTTTGGTTGTATTTTTTGTGAAATTGCAAAAAAAATCTTATATTCTCTTTGTATAGCAAACTAAAATTGCAATTCAAAATGATAAATGAATTACTTTTTTACATGCTTTCAATGATATTTTGGTTATATACAGTATATTTAATTCCATAAAGCTCAGGAAATTAGAGATAAAGTTTCACAATTTTAGTTCATATATATAAAAAAAAAAAGTTTCAATATACAAGGGGGAAAAGTGCATTTGTGAAGTTAAAAACAACACAACATCAATTTTTGGCCCTTGAAATAAATTTTTAAAATACTTAAATCGACATTGGCAAACTGCAAGATTTCTTAAAAATTTGTTAGATGAAAATCCACAGCGAAAAACAAAGCCTAGAATTCCTCGTTTGAAATAACAATTACAGAAAAAAAACCTATATTCTCTCTGTGTAGCAAAAAAAATTGCTAATCAAAATGATAAATGAATTACTTATATACATGCTTTCAATGATATTTTAGTTATATACAGTATATTTAATTCCATAAAGCTCAGGAAATTAGAGATAAGAGATAAAAATAGATAATGTTTCACAATTTTATTTAATATATATTAAAAAGATGCTGCAATATATATGTTATAAAAATATATATTATGTTTTTTACACAAGGGAAAAATGCATTTGTGAATTTAAAATCAACACTACTTTAATTTTTGGCCCTTGAAATCAATTTTTAAAAATACTTATATCGACATTGGCAAACTGCAAGATTTCTGTAAAATTTCTTAAATGAAAATCCACTGTGAAAAACAAAGCCTAGAATTTCTACTTTGAAATAACAATTGTTTTAAACGTGATGTCAAAACACAGTCAATAATTGATGATACTTGCTACATGATAGTTTTTTCAAGCTGCCCTTTTCAAACCAAGTAGAGGATTTTAATGAGCACTGCGGAGACAGATCTCACGTCCAGAGCTATTTAGAAAACACTGGAAGTAAATCAAAGATACCACAACATCTAGTATCAAATCAAGATGGGTAATTTTATGCAGGTTATATATAGAAATGTGCAATTAGTGAGACTTTTCAAGCCAAAAATGATACACTTTGAATATGTGATGAGGCTTATATATTTATATATATATATGTGAGTGTGTGTATTTGATGTGCCACAAGGGAGTTTAAAAGAAGGATATTCCACCAACCTGGCATCCGTTTCACTGTAGTATTCTCTGGCAACGATGTCCTCAAAGAGCTCCCCGCCTGTCACTCTGGAAAAGAAAAGTAATATATAAATAAATAAATCAAAACAATATGAGGATGTGTAGGACGCAGCGGGGACAGATGAAAAAGTGACAAGAGCAGATGGTAGAGCACCCCTAGTGTCACCGGTGAGTAACGCGTCACCAAACTACGACGGGTACTCTGGTGGGAGGACGTCGTGAGTAATATACAGTGACACATGTGTAGAATGAAGGGAAAGCTGTTTAAATTCATTATGGGAATGTGTTTTTAGGGGGCAGGAAAAGTGTACGATTGAATTTAAAGGAGCACCAAGTAACTTATTCTGTGTGTCCATGGAAATGTTATTGCTCTATCTGGAATTAAAACTATGGTATTAAAGATGATCTTGCTTGCTGGACAAAATACTTAACTCAATTCTGCATAATATTAATTGTATTTCTTTATAAAAAGCAGTAAATATCATTGTTTTGATGAGCTGGTCAAACTGATAAGAGTTGATATTATGACTAAGCAATGAAAAAGTGAGGTTGTCTTACAAAAATGTCATTAAAAAACACCCCTAAAATAAAATCAATGCAGCTTTAGACCATGCATGAGGTAAAATTATAAAATATGTTTATTTTGTAATTCCAAATGAGCTTAAACGAGCCAGTCAGAGTCAACCAAAAGGCCGTATGTGGCTCTGGAGCTGTACAATGCCCAGGTCTGATCTAAAACAACTGACTTCAGCGCTGGAAAATTGCGGTGTCCAGTGGAAGTAAATGTCGTCGTTAGGTTGTTGGTACCTCCGATGGACAACTGCACATAACACTAGCAAACAGCTTTTTTTTTTTTTTCCGTTTGTACCAAAATGACAATGTAACCCTGCTGAATTCTAGACATCTCACAGATTAAGAAAACAAAACTGGTGAATGAAGTAAGTACAGAGCAGTGGCAGTGAAAAGAAGATGATCGGCAAAATGGAATCTTGAAAAGTAGCTATTAAAGACTGCTCAAACATGCAAGTACAACTTTCAGGTGAGTAAATGGTGAAGGGAAACCAGAGGCGGTGCTATCATTTGGCAAAGTAGGCGGCTGCTTAGGGCCCCCAAACCTGGAGGGGCCCCCAAAAAATTGCCCTCAGTGCCACTAATGACCGAGGCCTGTCAATATAATATAAGCTCTCAATATGACATTAAATGAGAGTATTTTACATTTAAACAATAATAATAAGAAAAAATTATAATCATCTGTAATGGATGTAAACAAAAATGTAACTGTACTAGCGAAAAAAAACAAAACTGCTTTCAGGTCTGGTTATCTAGTAGGCTGCCGAACTAATAAGACAAGCTTCCAATCCACCATAATTCACATAAATAGGGATGTGCACGTCTCAAGAACAATAAGGAAAAACAGAAAATGAATATATCAAAACAAAACAAAAAAACTGTGCATTATAAATTCACCAAGGGCCCACAAATGGCTAACTCCACCACTGAGGGAAACAACGATATACAACATGGTTAAAACCTCTGAAAAGATTTTGCACAATACATTGCAAATTTGTCTGATCTGGCCAAGATTTTGGTTATTCATCAGGTTTTCAGATTTATTATCTACTTACTAGTTCTGAGACGGCTTAATTCTAGTTTAGAGGTCGTTTAGTTTGAGATAACTTGTCAAGTAAAATGATCTCGCTGCATGGACAGATAATTCATTACTTTTAAGTTATTTTCTGACAGATTTAAGTGTTTATATCTTAAATTTTGGCCAAGCTTTGTAGCAGTGTAGGTGTGTTTTAACCTGGAGTTCAAATCAGCTTGGAGGTAGTCATGTACCAACTACAATTTTTCCGTAAAGGATTCCAGTGTACTGCTATTAAAACACTACAGGTTACTAGTTACGTGAAATTATTTATCTAGTTTTTTGTCTTTAGCAGCATTTAGTCTCATCAATTCTCCTGAGGTACATTTCTGTTCTTAGACTCTAAGAGAAACTTTGAACGGACCAGCAAAAACTAAAGGATTGCTTGAACATTTATAATTTTTCTGGTTCATTTTACTTCTACATCACCATAAAAAAAATGACATTTGTGCCCTGCGAAATCAATTCAGATTCACACCTCCCCGATAAAAGAAAAAAGTTCTAAAATATGCTGATTGAATTGAGGCATTTGGAGAGTGTAGCGTTCACACAATCTCTCACTATAAAACTCACAGAAAAGATCAATTAGCATAATGTTCGGCGTTGGCTGATTATTCGGGCAGATATGAGTCACTGTCATAAAAACTCCGAGGTGCTTTGTTCAAACTCAGAATATGTAATTCTAGTGCGCTGCTATTCACTGGGAGAATAATTTCTGGCTAAATTGTGGTAAAACTAAACTTCTACTCCAAAATAAAACCGTTGAAGAGCAGGTATGAGTTATGAACACTGATTACAGAGGAACATTTCGGGGTGATTTGCAGTTTTCGGCGACGGAGGCAGATGGCGAGAAGATGAAGACTGTGATCCTGGAGCCATCTGTGAACAAGCACCAACGCAGACAAAAGACAGACAGAAAATAAAGATGCACTGTGCAACTTTTTGGTTTGGGGTCTGTCAGTGGTGGAAGAAATACTCAGTTTTGTTACTTAAGTAAAAGTACAGATACAAAGGAAAAAAGTAAAAGTATCGCATGAAAAAAATCTACGTATGTGAGTGAGTAAGAAAGTATTAATGTACCCGTTTAAAAATCTACTTTAAGAGTACGTACCTCGGTTTTGAAGTCACAATTCGATACATTTTCAGTACATTATGGGAAAAAAACTAAAAAGCAAAACTATTTGCTTGTTGTTTATTTGTGTGTTTATTAAATCAACAATTTGTTTTAACATTATAGAAACGGGAAAATAAAATAAATGCAAAGTGCTCCTTGGTAATATTAAGTTAAATAAAATATTCTCAAATAAGCATCAAATGTGTGAACAATTTTTTTTCAAAAAGTAAAGCTAACTAACAGTTCCAGGATGAAGTTTTACTCAATCTTCATAGTTCTGGCCAGAAAAACCAACTTGTCCACACTGTCTGCAGTAAGTGCAGGGGGCGTGAGGTGAGGACCGGGGAGCGACGACTGTAGTTTTGTGAGGATTCACGTGGTTCAGAGGAAGGTCAAGGTCAAGGTGGGAAGGCAACTGTTGTCAAGACGGCCACCTTAACTATAAAGCGCTGCGGGAAACACTGCCACCCCAATCACGGACAAGTTCCCTCGTCAATATTAAAGAGCCGAACATTCCGTGAAGCTGTACATGTAGTGCGGAATATAAACACGCACAAATTACACTCGTGCACTGCCTTGCACCGAACCGAACATCCCGTACCGAAACGGTTCAGCGCAAACACATGTACCGTTACAAGTCTAGTAAAAAGTAAAAGTATTTTGCTGAGATTTTTAGAACAATTAAAGGATGAAATGTAGTGACTTTGAGAAAGAATTTTGCAGATTTTGCAGACTACCAAAGAAAAATATTGAAATAATCTTCTGATTAAGGTATTTGTGGATGCATATACCAGAGGTGGAATCAAGTCGTTGTTTTTCAAGTCTCAAGTCTTTGACCTCAAGTCCGAATCAAGTCCCAAGTCAAATGCAGACAAGTCCAATTCGAGTCTCGAGTCAGTGGCCCATAAGTCCAAGTCAAGTCCAAGTCGTCTGCTTTGAGCCTTAAGTCATTTCAAGTCTTTAAACCAAAGTACCAAATAGAGCTTGGATTTTTTGCAATTTATATGAATTTTAAGATAAATTATACTTGTATAAAGTCATAGTATATTTATATATGAGTTGTAGAAATGCACATTTTTCCTTTTTAAATGTGTTGACAAGATCTTAGTGTGAATCATTACAGTCAGAACAGAAAGAATTCAGATTTAAAAGTGCTTTTCAAGTCTTCTCACGTCACAGGCCTCAAGTCCGAGTCAAATCCCAATTCATTGGCCTTCAATTCCAAGTCGCGTTCCAAATCTTAGTCCATTTTATCAAGTCAAGTCTCAAATCCTAAAAATAGTGACTCAAGTCTGACTTGAGTCCAAGTCATGACTTCCAAGTCCTCACCTCTGGCATAGACAGTAAATAACAACCAAAAGATAATTTCAAGACTATTTAGAGGACTGCAACAAACAAAAGGAATATTACACCACACGAAACAAAAATGGGAAAAGGAGGGACATCTAACCATATCTGATCAGGAATGGGAAAACTTTTGCGAGACACAATGGAAAACTTCTGACTCAATAAAATGGAGAGAGTTTTGTTGGAAGAATTTGGTTAGGTTTTTCAAAACACCGGTCCAGGAAAGACATTTCACCAAATCATCAAACTTTTGGAGGCAACGTGGTGGACTGGAGGCAAACCAGGGCCATATATTTTAGACATGACCTCATATTGTTCCATTTTAGAGAGAAATTCATAAATTATTAGAAACTGTGTTCTGTATTAACATGAAACAGTGTATGTGGGTCTCCTGATGGGTGAAAATGTGACAAATAAAACTGAAAAAACCTGTTCCAGATTAAAGCTATAACCAGGAAATGGCTTAATTCACAAATACCAACACTGGACGAATGGTTTAAGATTTTTATGATATTTTTAAGATGGAGAGAATTACTTTTTGTATAAGACTGCAACAAGACTGATTTATGAGCAAATGGAAAAGGTGGACTGAATTTATCAAAACTGTAAATCCAGAGTTTGTATGACCCTTTACTTTTTTTTTTCTTGCCAATGGTTGTAATAACTATTCATGTGTAAGCATTAAAGGCACACCCCACATATTATATTGTCTTTGTCTTTTTCATACCACTTAAAAAATGAAAAAGAATTGCTAGGTACTTAATGGTGTGCTATGTAACTTTTCTGGTGGGGGGTACACTACAATCTCGTCTCCAAGTTCAAATGCTTCCAAATGAAACAAGAAATTATGGTGTGGAAGTAAAATGAATGAAATGTGAGATTTTAGACAAGAAAAGATTCATATGACCCCTGGTGAGATGATGGCACAAAAACTCTCAAATCAATGAAAAGTTTACGCTGATTTAAAGGTGCATTGTGTGACTTTTCTCCATGGAGATGTTATTGCTTTCTTTATGGAGACCAAACCAGACCAAGTTACAGGTCAGATCTGTGGAGAGACGACTCCGCTCACAGTCAGAATGCATGTTTTTGTAGGTATTATTGAGCTATAAAACCACCTGTAACTGAATAAATGTGAGGTGTAATAGAGCTGTTTAATGTCACACTGTGGAACATTCCAGGCAGACATACCCATAGAAACAAGCAGGTGACGGATCCTCCACCAGAAAAGTTAATCAATGCACCTTTAACTAAGAACACAAATGTTCCCAAAAAGTAAATCATATTTTGCAGATTACAACCAGGAGGATTCGCCAACCATTTGGATGGTTCAACAAAGCCTGGACTTCAGTGACACCGAAACCATCCTGTGGGGATTCAGAAAGGCCGGAATAATATTAACTGGAACTGATGCTGAGTCTGACGACAGCTACACAGAAGAGGAAGCGGCGCTCTGTTTATCTCCGGAGGTCGTGGAGTTGCTCAGAAGTGACACCGAGGATGAAGAATTGAATGGATTTAGTGATTTGGAGTGAGATGGAGAGTTTGGTAAACTTGTTCTGTTCTGTTGTTTATGCTATATTTATATTTTAGTCTGTTGTTTTCCTTCTATTGTTATTACTAGAACTTGCTTTTCAAGATGAAATTAAATGTTGGTTCCTGGTCTCTGATTTTATAAAATAAAAGTAATTACACATTTTTTGGCTGGTTCGACTTATACTCGGGAGTGAAAATATTGTAAGTAGTTTTAGAATATTGTGATTTCATATTTGATGATTATAACAAAGGAAAGCAAGTGTCATGGATTATAACTATATAACAGGCTCAAGCACAATCTATGTTCTAGAAATGTTAAAATGTGTATATTATGGTGTAACCTTGCATAAATGTCATCGCAGAGCATCATAATTATGACACAATACCAGTCATTAAAAGATGCAAACAAACTGCTTAAACTGCTTACAACGCTTATACTTAATTTATATTGGCAAAACACAATGGCGTCTGTTTTGATAATCTGCACTCGTTTTTAGAACAGACATTCTGAATAATGCAGCAAACAGCAGAGAACTGAATTAAATACAGCCTAATCCCCCGTTTCCTTATGTTCTAAAGTGAGACGTCTTTATTTGGACAGTTGTGGGAGAGAATCGCATAATGGGAGTTGACAAAGGCTTTCACATTTCCCATGACGCCTCAGTGGGGGCTCCTGTGATTGACATGTGCTCTTGTAGTGCATGTGTGTGTGTGTGTGTGTGGGACGTCCCGGGTGTGGTGCGGTCACTTACAGGTCGAACACCAGGTAGTGGAAGCCCTCCTCTGATATGCTGTCATGAAGACGCACTGGGGACAAAACAACGGACATGTTAGGCAAATGTCACAGAGGAATAACAGAGGCAATTTTAGAGAAATACTGGGAAACATCAATAACTTATTTAGGTTGAGTGCATCAGTGAACATAGTCTATCTTCACCCGTGTTTGTAGGTACAGAACATACAGGTTGGTTTCAAGTAACATCACAAAATGCTGCACTCTCAAGGTTTAAGTTTTAGGTCAGAATTCTATGGTGGAACAGGATCTGGTCACCTTTTATTAGCTGATTTAAAGAAGATATTTAAACTTCTATTTAATCTGAGCTATTTGATGGTCTTTGTAATATCCACCTTTTCATTTTATAGACTTTGTTGAAGATTTATTTATTTATTTTTTTGTCTGTGTAAATGTTCAGTTGATTTTGTTTTGTTTTTATTATTACCATCATCTAATACATGATATTTATAATCTAAAAGGATCCCAAGACATTATATTGACAAATATAATTACATATATTGCTTGAAATGCTTTTGACAAGTCTGATTATTATTATTTTAAATACATCATTAAATGTGTATTAAATGTCAAAAACACAAGAAGGGCTGGGTATCATTAAGAAGTTGCCGATACAATACATACAATATATACCTCGATACAGTGATCTTTCGATTCAATACGATATATTTCAAAGCGATTCGATACGGTTCAATAAAAAATAAAGGCTAAATCATGGCTGTGATATTAAAAGTCTTTGTTAAATCACTTCTTGTGCAAAGTTCATATGAAACACAAACATTTTAATCATCAAAACAGTGAAAATGTCAAATTTGTCGCAAGTTTCCTTGATCTAAACAAACAACAAAACTGTAGCACTGTAACAAAATAATTTAGTAAAATATATCGATATTATGGATACAGCAATAGCACACAACGAATAAATACAGTGTTAAAAAAAAATTATTCTATGGTGGAATTTGCCTTTTATACTGACTGATAGATAGGGGCGCAAAGACGTTATTGTCCTTTCTTCCTACGGGATTTGGGAAAAGCTTAATATACCAGTTATCCCCGTTATCGGCGCATTACATACGTCACGACCAAATAGCAGTGGTTGGTTAACTAAAAAAAGTACCCGCCTATTGTCGATCGAATTAATTCTAACACTGTGAGGTCAGACTGCTTCCACAAAGTGAAACCGGCTGATGAATCAGGCTAATCGATAGACATGCACATCCAATAAAAATTGCAACTGCGTGCTGGGTTCAAAGACAAAAATAGTACAAAAAAAAAAAAAGGAAAGATCCGCATTTCAATGACACCACAATGTGCAAAGTGTAAAATGACACTGCGGTGTGACTGAAATAAAATTTGGGTGCTTCAAAGAACTGCAGTGCGAATCTATTTATTTTTTTGCGGCACAAAGATCTTTTCTGTCTGCACAAACAAGCTGATATTTTTGATTAAGGCAAGGCAAGTTTATTTGTATAGCACAATTCGTACAAAAAAGTAATTCAAAATGCTTTATGGAATAAGGATGTTACAATCACAACACAAACAAAGCAAAACAAATAATCATAAAAATAACATTAAAAAAAGAGAAGAGAGAAACCTTTCAGTCATATGCCCAGCTGAACAGAACCGTTGTGAGCCTGGATTTACTATTACTTTTGACTTTTGCTATGTTTTTAGATGGTAAAAAGAATGTTATTGATTTGATGTTGCTATTAAAGTTCAAGTCTGAATCCATTATTACCCCTAATTTCTAGCCTGATTTGAAAGTTTTAGAGAGAGAGACTAGTGTTTCTGTGGGCTTTGTTTCTATGACTTCAGTCTTGTCTAAGTTTAGCTGGAGAAAGCTGATTTGCGTCCACACACTGATCTGTTGGACGCAGCGGCAGAGTGAGTCCACTGCTCCTTAGTCTCCTGCTGCAGTGAGACGTAGATCTGAGTGTCGTCTGCAGAGTTGTGGCAGGACACATTATTGAGACGTATTAACTTTTGTAGAGATTGAACAAAAGGGGGCCCAGGATCGACCCCTGGGGCACCCCGCAAGTCAGGGCCATGTGATCTGAGACACAGTTTCCAATTTCAACTAAATACTTCCTGTCTTCTAGATAGAACCAGTTTAGTGCAGTACCAGAGATGCTCAGTCCTCTAGACTCTGTAAGAGGATCCCGTGATCGACAGTGTCAAAAGCAGCACTCAGATCTAACAGGATTAAGACTGACTTTCCCTGCATCAGTGTTCAGGCGGATGTCATTTGTCACCGTGATAAGAACAGTCTCAGAGCTGTGGTTTGATTTAAGATTTGAGTTGGGTCGGAATTTGTTCAGCTCTGTGCTCTTCTTTAGGAGAGGCTTAATGACCACAGTTTTCAAAGCTCTTGGGAATGTTCCAGATTGAAGTTTCATGTTAACTCTGTGAGCAAGTGGTGAAGGCAAACTGATAATCACAGACTTTAGAAATCCTGTGGTTAACACGTCGCGGTAGCATGTAGACGAACTCAAGACTGGTGACGATCTCCAAGACAGTTTTGTAGGTTACAGGTGCAAAGTGACTCAGCTCTGTGTTTCTGTGGTTGCATGCTTGTTGACAACAATAATTTCATTTTCAATTGCTCGGTTTGAGGTTGCGTGACAAGATTCTATAGATCAGAAGCAGCTCATGTGAATATTATTAAAATCTGGCTTAGATTTAGTCACTGATAGAAATAATCAGGTTCAACATTAGTGATTTTTTCTTTTAGATCTTATAAAAGTACAATGTAATTAAAAGGGCAAAGTGGTTCTTGTCCCCCGTCACATTAGGCACCACAAGATTAATCTGGCAAACCTGTCGACCTAATATCTTACAAAGGATTTTAAGGTTTAACATTTGGATATTTCAGTGATAACAGTGAATCTCTCATAGAAATCTGAAATGAATCATGAACTAGAATGTCACCTTTTAGCTTCTGTGGTTCATCTCATGCCATAAATCAAATATAAAGGTCTTATATTATGCAAATTAACTGTGAGCTTTAAGCCATGTTATGGAGTTGTGTTTGTTTCATTCACACATGTTTGAGTAATCCTTTATTATTAGTCTGTTTACATCCCCAAAGCTCAAAATGCTCTTTTTCACCTTGTGACGTCATGAAGCAATGAATGTTTGGTAACACTATATTTTAGGGTGCACTTATTAACATCTAACTACCCACTAATTAACATAGTTATAATTGGTTAATTTGTCATTCATTAGTATTTATTCAGCTCTTATGAATGCTGTTAGTCATTTACAAACACTTTCCTATTAATACACTCCTTATTACTGCTTATTAAAATGATACTAGGCCATTTTTGTCGATGACTTATGATTCTAATAAGATTTTGGTGCAAATAAATAAAAACTACATTTGTGCTACTAGTCCTTAACAACACGTTTATTACCAAAAGCAAATAAATAAGCAATAATAAGGAGTGTATTAATAGAAAAGTGTTGATAAATGTCTAATAGCAGAATAAACGTAATACTGACTAACTGAATAAATACTAATTAATGACAAAAAAACATTTACAACTATGTTAATTAGCAGGTAGTTAGATGTTAATAAGTGTACCCTAAAATAAAGTGTTACCGAATTTTTCATATTAACAACACTCTTGTACATTTTGTTCAGTAGAAACGGGCAATTTCAGGACTGAAATCATCCAAATGGTTTTAGTGAAGGAGTATGAGCACTTCCTGTTTTACCACATGATGAATAATGTTATCTGTTTGAGAGAAGAACTGTGTGAATGAAACAAAACTCCAACATTATAATACACAACAGAAAACAGCATCGGCCTTTTAACTAGGGAGACCAGACCTACAGTATTTACCCGGGACAGTCCCAGCTTTGAGCCCTGTGTCCCCCTGTCCCAGCAGATTTATACAAAACCACGGATTTGTCCCAATTTTATACAAGAAATGTCCCAGGCGTCCCTCTTTTTGACCAATCTGATCCCTGCCAACAGTAAAGAGAGGCATACACTGACATTTGTTTCAGTAAAATACAGAAAATCTGCTTAAAAATGACCAAAACACAAAGAAAATGTGACTATACCAAGTCATGTATTAGTTGTGAATGAGCTAAGTGCGTAAAATTTTTTCTTAATTGTGCACTCGTTTCACAATTTTATTTTTTCCAATTACTACAAAAAATCTGGTCACTTCACCTTTAACTAAATCAAGCCTTTACATTTTGACAGAATAAAAATCACTGGTGCCATAATGGAACGTAAAGGCAATCGTTGTTACTGCGTTATTCTTCTCATTCATTTTGATCATTTCTTTGATTTGAATACTCCATAAACTCTGGCTACTGTTATTTTTAGCCCCGGCTCTCCTCTAAATTAGCATGGATGTCGGCTGGTTTCACGTGGCGAGCTCTGACCTCTGCTCACCGATAACCTTCACTTCCACGCTCATTAGCTCCAGCGGCTAATGGACATGTTACAGCGGCGTGCGCAGTGACGGACGGGGTCAAAGGGACAGCGCGGGCCGACCTCACGCTGACAGCACCGAGGATACCAAGGAGCAGGGTTATTTTGATTGACACATACAGATTTTCTCCTGCATTTGACTGAAATAAATCCACTGTGTATCAACAAGTGCAATACAATAACTGGGATTAAATGATTGATTATTCCTTAATGTTTATGTACACATTTTTTTGCTACTGGTTTAACAAATACTAAAAGTCTTTGTTAAACTACTTCTTGTGCAAAGTTAATTTGAAACACACAAATTTTAAATCATGAAAACAGTGAAAATGTCAAATGTGTCGCATAAACAAGTTTCCTTCCACTAAACAAACAACAAAACTGTAGAGCTGCAACAAAACAATTTAACAAAATATTAAAAAAATTAGTCTTGGTGATATATCGATACAGCAGCCCAAGATATCACTACTTTATCATCACATTAAACCATACGATATATTGATATTTCGATATTTTTGATCAGTATAGTCACATTTTCTTTGTGTTTTGGTCATTTTCAAGCAGCT